GGTCCTTTGGAAGAGCAGTCATTGCTCCACCTTCCTCTGATTCTTTTTCTTTTGGTCTTTTTTAAAAAAAATATTTTATTTGTGTATGCGTGTATTGCCTGCATGTAGGTAAGTGCATCTGTGTCACCCAATGCCTGAGAACAGAAGAGGCTGTTGGATCCCCTGGAATTGGAGTTACAGACAGTTGTTAGCTGCCATGTGAGTGCTGGGATTTGAACCCGGGTCTTCTGCAAGAACAGTCAGTGTTCTTAACCACTGAGCTATCTCTTCAGCCCCTCTTTTGGTCTTTTTGAGATAGGGTCTCCCTGTAGTCCAAGATAACCTAGATAGACCAGGCTGGCCTTGAACTCACTGCTTCTGCCTCCCCAGTGCTGGCTAATAGGCCTGGCTTTTAAAAAAATTCTTAATTTTTTTTCAAATTTCATACATGTACTGTCTTTACAATATTTCCATCCTTCCCAGCCCCCCACCAATTCCTCCCATGTCCCCCAATTCCCTTTGAATTTCCTCATATTACATACACATACACACATTTAGAAATATGCATATTCATATATTTGATGCACTGAGTCTATTTAGTGGTGATCATGCATACCTGTGCTTAGGTCTGTCCACTTGAGATTATCTCTCAGGGAGCTAGGCCCTGGAGAAAACTGATTCTCCCTTCCTCAGCATCTATTGACTGCCTGTAGCTTGTCTTCAGGTGAGACCCCATAAAATTCCCCCATCTACCTTGGCATGCCAACTGCTTTTGTCCTTATGCAGATGTCGTTAGACTACCAGACTCCAGAGATTGCATTGGTGCAGGTTCCTTACCATGCCTGGAATGCATTAACTGGCAGCTGGTGTCTTGTCCCTCTAGCTCTTACATTTTTTTCTTCCTGTGGGGCATTTTCTTGATTGCTGATATGATTGGCAGGGCCCAATCTACTGTGTGCAGTGCCATCCCTTTGTAGGTGGGCCTGGGTTGTATGAGAAAGTAGCCAGAAGGAGCAAGCCCGTAAGCAGCACTCCTCCATGGCCTGGGCTTCAGTTCCTGCCTTGAGCTCCTGTCTCAGCTTCTCTCAATGATGAACTGTAATCTCAAAGCTAAATAAACCCTTTCCTCCTCCAAGGTGCTTTTGATCTGTTTTTTTACCACAGTAATAGAAAGCAAACTAGAGTGGATTCAAGCTTCTTCTGTGTCACTCTAGCTTGCTTACACTCCAATATCCTTTGCTCTGATGGGCTATATTTATAGTAGGTCAGTAACGGGTGTAAGCCATTTGCTTTTATCTTTGCCTTCATGCTAGAAGACTGTTGAGCCATGTGAAGATTAGATTGTCCTGGTTGGGGGCAGGGAGATACAGAGGACGGTCTTAGAACATCACACTGTATACCTTCCTCTGTGATTGGGACCCTGACTCTTCATGTTTTTCAAAATGTTAAATTTTCATAGTGCCTGGAAAAAAAAATTGAAGAAAGTGAAGGTTTGGAGATGATCAGTGGAAGAATGATTGAATTAAAAGAGTTCAGCAGAATGTGTGATGAAACATTAAACCAGGGAGGAAAGAGAAGCAGCAGCAATCCAGAAAGTGTATGAACTTCTATTTGAGACACTCGCTTGAATACAGGCTTTAACCAAAATAAGAAAACAAGAAACCAAAACAAAAGCTTCAAAAACCCAGAGCATCTAAAGTGCTTAAACCCAGATGTGGTAAACAGGTAAAATAATCTCTAAGTTCCTGTCCAACTGTCCAGTTTTTGCCCAACTTGCTATTCTGGACTTTCCCCCAAACCAAAAAATGTAGGGTTTATTAAAGCTGTTAAAAAAAAAAAAAAAAAAAAAAAAGTAAAAATTGCCAGGCAGGTGGCGCACGCCTTTAGTCCCAGCACTTGGGAGGGAGGCAGAGGCAGGTGGATCTCTGTGAGTTCAAGGCTAGCCTGGTCTACATAGTGAGGTCCAGACCAGCTGGAGCTATAGGGAGACCCTGTCTCAAAAAACAAAACAAAAACAAAAACATAAAAAGTAAAAATTAAGATAAAATTTTTCAAATCCAAGAAACATGAGACTCTGTGTCAAAATAAAAAAAGCAATGGCCCCAAAGGAAAACAACATGACTACATTTCTTCTCTTAAATTCATTTTGTGACTGAGACTATGGAAAGGCTAATCAAAATGTTAAAAAAAAAACAAAACTTTAACTTGCTGGGCATGGTGGTGCACACCTTTAATCCCAGCACACAGGAGGCAGAGGCAGACAGATCTCTGGTGGTTTAAGGCCAGCCTGGTCTACATAGCAAGTTCCAGGCCAACTAGGGCTTCAGGGAGACAGGGTTGTTCTCACAGAGATTTGCCTGCCTCTACCTCCTGAGTGCTGGGACTAAAGGCATGTGCCACCACACCTGGCTTAAAAAATAAATTTTAACTTAAAATATGATTAAGAACATTAAAAGATATATGTAAACATTTTTATACATTATTTTGAGTCTAGGCTTTGAACTTTAAACTCTGAACTAGAATTGTACCTGATAACATAAAACAGAAACAAACTCATGTTTGTGCAAAAATACCCCATAGCACATTTTTACTTATTTTTATTTGTGTATGAGTGTCCTGCCTACATGTATGTAAGTACACCCATGCAATGCAAAAAAGTCAGAAGACAGTGTCTGATCCCGTGGAACTGGAGTTACAGATGACTGTAAGTCACCATGTGGGTGCTGGGAACCGAACCCAGGTCCTCTGCAAGAGCAGTCAGTGCTCTTAAGCTCTGAGCCATTTCTCCAACCCCTTGTATTTATTTTCTTTTTTAGTCTTTTTTGAGACAGGGTCTCCCTGTAGCCCTACTTAGCTTAGACTCTATGTAGACCAGGCTGACCTCCTTCTCACAGAGATTCATCACTTGCCTCTGCCTCCAGAGAGCTGGGATTAATGGTGTGTGGCTTGTATTACTTTTTTCATCTTTTTGAGACAGGGTCTCCCTGTAGCCCCATTTGGCCTGGAACTCACTTCATTTGGAGACCAAGCTGGCCTCAAACTCACAAAGATCTACCTGCTTCTGCCGCCAAAGTGCTGAGATTGTATTACATTCTTAAGTCTTTATAGTTTCATGAAGGAACTGCCAAATGGATTTGCAAAATTCAGCTGAGGTTTGCGATTTTGCAACATACTAGACTTAAGTAGCACACAAGCGGACAATTTTGTCATTATTTTTTAAAACATGCGTGGAGGTCGGAAGATAACTTGTGGGAGTCCCTTGACTTCTTCCAACATGGGGTTCTGGGGATTGAACTCAGATCATCAGGCTTGGCAGAAGGTAACTTTTTCTGTGGAGTCATCTTGCAGGCGCTATTTTGTTTTAGTTTTGAGAAAGAGTTTTGTGTAGCTCAGGCCGGCCTCAAACTCCCTGTGTAGCAGAGGATGACCTTAAACTTCTGATCTTGCTGATAACCTCCTGAGTGCTGAGATTACAGGCAGGAACCTAGTTTCCTGTGCTGCTGGGGAGCACACCCGGGGCCCTACCAGCTACTCTACCAACTGAGCCACGTTCACAGACCAATCATTTTCTTTTAGATTAAACGAAATAGCAGTACCTTCGGGGGCTAAATCCTAGACAAGATGCAAATGTGAAGTAATTTCAGACGCTATTTCAGGGGATGAGGAGAAGTTAAAGGGTGTCCCCCTCCCTAATAGTCTCCAGAACTATTTCTGCTTTATAGTTATCTAAAAAAACTTGAGCTGCAGAAACCCACAAGGCAAACAGGAAAAGGTGAAGAAACCAATTGCTTAAATATATCACAGATGAAAAATTTAATTTTTTCACCTTTCAGAATATTCATAGTACAGCAGGAACTTGATTATCCACGACTATAGTCACTGGTCTCTGCTTATGAAATGTTCTAAGTTCAAAGTGGGTGGCAGTTTTTCCCTTGCAATACTTTCCTTGGAACAAAACAGCACTTAACATTGTTACTTAGATGCCATAAACCCAAAGAGGAGAACATCAAGAGTTGGTAATTTTCATCAGGAAGAAAAATGGCATTTTTAGTATGTTTTTAAAATACTTCATGAAGAGTGGTCTTTTTACCCACGTACATCAGTCAAAATGTGACACAATATTGAGGGAGGGCAGATACTTTTTTTTTTTTTTAAATGATGATGTAGTCTGCCTATTGTTAGAGTGGAAATGAATAACAGACTCACTCGAAAATTCTATTACAAAGAAGCATACTTTTGTAATATATCATTGCTTCATTATACAGATCATATATTCTAAGTATGGTATGTGTTAACTGATCTGGTGGACTGTAACTGTTCTTAGTACCGCTTTTGCATATTCTACTGAAAATACAAAAATATTAATTTATACAGACCATAAGTCCCGAATACACACACATTCACATCTACTGCTTGCCTTAAAGGAAATTCAAGGGTAGCATTCAGGAAGGAAGACCGTCCAGGGTACTTCAGCAGTGCGGTGCTCAATAGTCATTTACTCATTCAGAGTTACGAAACAACAAATATCCCAGAAAATCCAAAACGGTGGGAAGTAAAGTATTAAAGTGCAAATAAAAACTCCCTATGGCTTCCAGAAACCACCGAATGAGAGGAAAAGCCAGGTTAGAAGGCAGTGGCAGGGCGGTGTCCCTGCCAAGTTACAAGGCGCGCTGCACTGGTCCCGGTCCCCCGGCTCGTCGCCCTCCTCGGAGTTACCGGGAACTGAACCCACACAGACCCAGGGGTGGCAATTAGGGGGGACAGCGGCGCACCCCGAAGAGAAGCCGGTGGCCAGAGGCTAAGAAGCCGCCCTGCGCGCAGGTGGGCGGGCGCGCGGAGAGGGATGCGGGGAGCAGAGGTCAGTACCGGCGCCGCAGCCGCCCCGCCCGGCCCGCCAGGGGGAGCGAGTGCGCCCCGCCTGCTACGGGGGCTGCGCGGTTTGCGAAGGCGGCAGGCTGCTGCGCTCCACCGCGGCGCTCCCGCGTCTTTTTTTCCCTCCACCCCCTTCACCCCCTCCCGCGGCGCCATGCGCAGACTCAGTTCCTGGAGAAAGATGGCGACGGCCGAGAAGCAGAAGCACGACGGGCGGGTGAAGATCGGCCACTACATCCTGGGGGACACGCTGGGCGTCGGCACCTTCGGGAAAGTGAAGGGTGAGGACCCCCGGGCCAGGGCGGGCCCTGGACGTGGAGGGCGGCCTGACCCACTCGCTCTCCTCCTCCTCCTCCTCCTCCCCGTGCCCGCCTACCGGGTCTCCCGGCTCTGCAGCCCCCTTCCGGGCTGCGCTGGGAGCGAGCCCCAGGCCGCCGCGGTGTGCTGAGCTGCAGGGTCAGCTGCGGTGGGGTGGGGGCTGTCGCCTTGGCGACGGCGTGGCGGCGGAGGGGCGGGGATGGCTCTGGGCGGAACTTGACCGGGTGACGGAGTTGGGCTCTGCGCGCCGGGATGCAGGGCGGGGACGCGGGGGTCTCGGCCTTAGGAGCCGGGTGTGCGCCCTTGGCGCACGGCCAGCGGGTCGCTGCTATCGCTCCTCGGAGGTCCACAGCGTGGTGGCTTTTAGGAGACTGGCGGCTTACCTGCCCCTGCTGTTTCTCGAGTCTGAAATGTCTTCTCCCAGAAGTGAGATAACTGTAGGATACCTTCGAGAATTAAAGAGACCCTTTTCTTTGGAAGTAGTACTGATTTCCTTCAGAGGTGCTGGTGAATATGGATATGGACCGGCGCTGAATTTGAAATACGTGGTTTGAATTCTGAATGCAGACTGCGTATTTTCCAGTTTGGGGGAGTTTTGCAGTTTCTACGCGCTATACCTAGTAGGTCGGGCAGCTGTTGTCTCCAGATGGCATTTAGTAGCCTATGGATACATTTCATCTTCAGAGCATATTTAGAGTTCTGGAAGTCAGTGCATATGTTTTTTGCCTGTTTCGGTAAAGAGAAGTGCAGGATCCCTTATCTTTTATGTATCAGTAGCGCAAACCCCCAGCTCTGACAAGAAAAATTTTCATTGCAAGCTTTGTGAGGTGGACTTTTTTCCCCTTTGAGATGTTTGTTATTAAGTATTTAGTGGAAGAAATTTTGGAACTGCCAAGAAATAATTCATACATTGATTTGGAGAAATAAGAGACTATGACTTGCATACAGTAAGCTTTTTCAGTAAGTATTTGACTTGGAAAAAGTTTGTTAGCTCACCTGTACAGAGAGCTGAGCTTTGTTCTGTCAGATAAACATTTTCTTATTTGATTATTAAGGGATGGAACAGAATAACCCACCCTTCTTTTGTCCTTGCTATGTAGCCCACAGGGGAGCAAATGCATAAACCTTCTTACAAAGATCAGCAAACCCAACAGCATGAGAAAGAAGCAGATGAAGACTAGGGCAGCGGCAACCATCATGGTGGGTCCATATTCTGACAAACCATCATGGTGGGTCCATATTCTGACAGTTTGTCAGATATTTTCGTACCCATTAGGTTTTTTTTTTTTTTTTTTTTCAGACAGGATTATATAGCCCAGGCTGCCCTTGAACTTGCTGTGTAGCCGGGCCTGGCTTTGACCTTTCTGTTTCTATTGCCTCAGCCTCCTGTTGCTGGGATTACTGAGATTTTAGGCATGAGCTGGGCTGTTTTTTGTTTTGAGGGTTTTTTTTTTTTTTTTAGGCAGTGTTTCTGTGCTAGATACTGGCTTTGAGGTTGCCATTTTTCCTGCCTCTGCTGCCCAAGTAGCTGGTATATTATAGGCGACCCTTTCACTGTTCTGTTACTTGTTAACCACTATAACATACTTTTTAATTTACAAGTGTTGGAAAGAAATGCTCATGAATGCTTCTGATCACAGTGATAAGGCAGTCTTGATGCCTTCACCCCTTCTAAGATCTCTGCTTGGAACACGGCGTTCACCTATAGTTTGATACAAGCCAGAGTGGAGTGAGCAGATTGGACACGAATAAGATTGTTTTCATTTTTGGGATTTGACTTATGAAGTGTCAGTGACTTGAAGCATCCAGTGACTCTGCTTTTCCTTAATCTTCACTTCTCCACCCACACATTCTTCTCTTGAAATACTATACTGTCGGTCATCACCCTCCCCAAATATAGAAGGGCCAGTATTAGTCAAAGATCATAGGCTTCATGGTTAAAGTGAAACTTGTTCTTAGATTTATTAGTTGATGTTCAAAATCTTCAAGTAGTTAATTTTTAAATTGTTAAACAGTTGAGATGCTTTTTGCCAGAAGTTATAGAAACTGATTATTTCTGTGATCCTCTGTCCACAGCAAGGAATGGCCTGGTTGGCATATGCCATTTAGTTTAGGCACTAGAAAGAGGAGGGCGTATTAGTACCCTTGGAGGAATGTGACCCAGCGTGTTTGTGTGTGTATGTGTGTGTGTATGTGTAGCAGAAGGCATCTTTTTTTTTTAAGTAGTTGGATACAGAGTGTATGTGTGTATGTTCTATTTTTTATTTTTAAAAATTTTATGTGTATGAGTGTGTGTAAGTGCACCATGTACATGCAGTGCCCATGGAAACCATAAGAGGCCATTGGATCCCCTGGAATTGGGTGCTAGGAACTGAAACTGGTCCTCTGCAGCAAGTGCTCTTAACTGCTGAGCCGTCTCTCCAGCCTCCTCACTGCCATCGCCCCTTTTTTTTTTGAGACAGGGTCTCACTATGTAGCCGTAGATGACCTGGAACTTGCTATGTAGATCAGACTGGCCTGGAACTCACAGATCTGCTTGCCTCTGCCTCCTGAGTGCTGGGAATAAAGGTGTGTGCCACCAAGCCTGGCCCTCCAGGTTTGTTTGGAACAGTAAAAAGTAAGTCTGTTTAGTAGATACCTACAATTTATGTGTAAAAGGCAGAGGCACATGTGCACGTTGCTACTTTTTTATGTGTAGCATATCCTTATATAGATAACATGGGAAACCGTTAGAACCTTGTTAGAATCAGGAATGGGAACTAGGAGGCAGGGAATGGTGTGCTACATCCTTTGGTTGTTTTGTACTGTAGTCATTTTTGCAAAATACATTAAAATTAAATTTGAAAAATAATAGTTTTATGGATTCATAGTTATATAATAAAATGTTAATGTGTCAGAGGGATACCACATTCAGAATGGTAGTTATGCAGCTCTGGGAGGGGTCGTTCAGGGCTTCAGCTGTGTGTGTAATGTAGTGCTAAGCTGCTGGTACTTGAGTATTTGGTATGCTTTTTAAAAAAAAAATCTTCACTTTTTTATTACATTTGTGTGTTTATGTGTGTGTGTGCATGTGTGCATGGAACACATGTGGAGGTCAGAGGAACATTTTCAGGAGTCCATTTCCAGGGATCAAACTCAGGTCCTCAGGCTTGGAGGCAAGTGTGTTAACCAGTGGGCTGTCTCACTAGCCTTTGGTCTATCTTGTGATATATGCCTGAAATTTTTGTTAGCAAAAAGGTAGACACCTCAAGTTTCCATTTATAGCTTTTTAAACTCACCCATCTCTGGGATTAAGCTATTTTTCTAACACTTAGCAATGAAATTTTCTCCTAATTTTAGAAATGAAACTAAATGGTTAGGTGGCTAGACTGCCTTCAGGGGACATGAACTGTGTGACATTTCTAGCTTGTTAAAATCCCGTCTTTCAGAATATGATCTTGTTTTACTTCAGCATTACATACCGAATTAGATCATTGTTAACAATGTTTTATAGTTAGACAAAGTTGCCTTTAGAGAGCAATCACTTGATTGTCAGTTAGCTCATACTTAGTTGATTAGTCTGCTGTTCTTGTGAAGCCTGTATTTTAGAGGCTGGTAAATTCTGCCCTGGGTGAGGAGCCAGTGTTCAAGGCCAGAATGCCCATGTTGCTTCTGCATTAAAGAACATTTTAGCCCAGTTGAAAAATAGTAACAGTCTAAAAAAACACAATTTAAGCTTTGATAAAGGGCAGGCACATCCCTGAGGGAATACAGACTCCTTACAAAGTCCATTTATTTCATGCACTGATTGACTGTGGAACAGCAGTGACTTCGGCTCCACCTAAGTTTACTCAATGGAGAGTCTTTAGCCCAGTTTTGAGGACACAGTTCTGGTTCTGACATTGTGCCAACTTCTTTTTCCCTTCTTATTACATATTGTCGGTGGGGTAGAGAAAGATCAAAGGAAAGAATGAAATCTTTGAATGATTATCAGAGCATTCAAATTATGCTCTGATGATTTTCTTTTCTGTTTTTTTGTCTTTGAGACAGGGTCTCTCTGTAGCCACAGCTGGCCTAGATTCACTATGGAGACCAGGCTGGCCTCAAACTCACAGAGACCTGCCTGTCTCTGCCTCCCAAGTGCTGGGATTAAAGGTGAATGCCACCATGCCAGGCTCAAATTATTATTTTCAAATTTACACTATAAATTGGAGATTCTTCTGGTATGTTCAACTTGTATTTATGTTACATTTGAAGGATGTATGTGTGTGTGTGTGTGTGTGTGTGTGTGTGTGTGTGTATTACACTGTGCAGCATTTTTTGGAAGATTTATTTATTTTTTGTCTTTGAGACAGAGTCTGTAGTTCCAGCTCTCCTGAAACTTGCTTGGGAGACCAGGTTGGCCACACTGTCACAGATATCCGCCTGCCTCTCCCTCCCAAGTACAGGGATTAAAGATGTGAGCCTACCACATCTGGTTTTGGTTTATCTTTTTTAAAGATTTATTTTATTATTTTTAATTATGTATATATGTGTGGGTACATGCATGTGAGTTCTGATGCCCACAGGGGCCAGAGGCCTGGGATTCTCTAGGGCTAGCGTTCCAGACAGTTGTGAGCCAGTGGCTGTGGGTCCTGGGAATTGAACTCAGGTCCTCTGCAAGAGCAGTATGCATTCCTAACCATACAGCTGTCATTCCAGCCCCCAGGTTTAAAAATTTTTTTAACTAAAATTTTTATTTATTTATTTATTTATTTATTTATTTTTGGTCTTTTTGAGACAGGGTCTCCCTATAGCCCCAGCTGGCCTGGAACTCATTATTTAGACCAGGTTGGCCTTGAACTCAACAGAGCTCTGCCTGCCTCTGCCGCCCATGTTCTGGGATTAAAGGTGGCGTTAAAGGTGTGTGCCACCACCCTCAGCTTAAATTTTATTTTTATTTTATGTATTTGAGTGTATTACCTGCATGCATGTAAGTGTACCT